GATCTTCCTTTAACCAGTTTACTCCCCAGAAGAGATTTCTAGACCATGTCACCATTTTCACCATTTTGAAGTATACAGTTCAGTGCCTTAATTACATTTGCAGAATTCTGCAACATTGTCACTGTCTAATTCCAAATTTTTCATCATCCCAAACAAACTCTGCCCATTAAGCAGTAACTCCTCATTACCCCTCCCCGCAGCCCCTGGTTTACCTCTAATATACTTTCCATCTCTATGAACATGCCTGTTGTAGATATTTCTTGTAAATGGAATCATACAAGATTTGTGCCTTTGTCTCTGGCTTCTTTCACTTAGCGTAGTGTTTTCAGAGTTCATCTGTGTATAGAATGTATCATTCCTTTTTATGGCTGAATAGTATTCCATTGTGTGTGACACCGCATTCGGTTTATTCATTTATCTGTCGATAGGCACTTGGGTTGTTTCCACTTTTTGGCTACTCTGAGTAATGCTGTGAGCACTGGCGTTTAAGTGTGTTTAGTCCCTAGTTCATATCTTTTGGGTTTTTACCGAGAATGGAATTGCTCAGTCATTTGGTAATTCTATGTTTAACTTTTTGAGGACATGCCAAACTCTACTTTCTTAGTTATGATAATGCTTAAGTGAATACCTGTATTCGTGAAACTTTTTTGACACTTCCTCTTATTTCTTTAAATTCCTTGAAGTGAGATTAATGGGTCAAAAGGTGCAGCAGTTTGAGACACCATGCTAAATGCTATCCAAAAGGCTTGAACCCCTTTTGCTGCTGCCACAGATGTCTGAGAATGCCCTTGTCACCAAACCAACATGGCACTTAATATTTCACTGTTTTAAATGTTGGAGAATGTTGCTCTCCCATTTCTGATGGAACCATAGTCTAGCGACAGAATGGCTTGCCTGACACAGCTCCTGATCACCAGCCCCGAGTCCTTCTCCCTCCTCTTTCCCTTATTCTTTGGTGCTGATCTAGCCCAGTCTACAGGTCCTGTTACATCTAACTTCCCAACTGTCTCTAGTCCGGTCACTTCTCCCCATCTGCCCAGCAAAGATGATGTCATTTTGACTTGTAAAAGATGACCTTTTCTAAACAGTTAAAAAAAAAAAAAAAAAAGATGTCCTCTAACTATAGGCCTCCCCCTGCCACTGTGCCTCCTCTCTAGAAGTCCTGAGGCTTCTGTGGAGCTTCCTACTTTGGCTGCTTCTCACAGCTTTTCCTATCTTTCCTTCCTGCTATTCTCCTTCAGTTCTACAGCGAGTCGGGCATGCCTACCAAACATCTTTCAGACAGCGTGTGTGCTGTGTGTGGGCAGCAGATCTTTGTGGACGTCAGTGAAGAGGGGATCATTGAGAACACGTATAGGCTGTCCTGCAATCATGTGTATCCTGCCTCGAGCTCCTGGGCCACATCTCTCCTGCAACCTGCACACTCCAGTGAGGGAGAGAAAGGGGGTGGTCATGACCCTAGGTGTGCTGTCCAGACCCTTGAGTGTAGGAGAGCCACGAGAGGGCTGCCTTCCCTGCGCTTTTCCACAGATCAGAGCCACTCTTAGGTAAACAGTGGTTACAGCCTGGCTGAGTCTGAGAGGAACCTGAGGCTGTAGCTAGTGAGGCTATGCTAGCTGACCTGAGATCTGACCAGTCACAGGGGAAGAGGACCCTCTAATGGGATCCCTCAGTTTAGCATCAAATCCCCTATTCTGAATAACACTTCTAATATTTATCATGTATTTACCCAGCTCCCATTCTGTGCCTATGTTGAGAGAGCCATGTGTCCTCTCCATTTTGCCCCATAACAATCTTGTGAGACAGGGATCATTATCCTTACTTTACATGTGAGGAAACAGGTTCAGACAGAGGGACTTGCCCAACATTACAGAGCTGATAAAGCGTGAAGGCAGGATTTGAATCTTTTAAAGACTGGCCTGGGGCTGGAGTGCCGCCCTGGCTCTCACCATTTCCCTTGACCAGCGGTGCTCAGCTTCCACGAGTTCTGCATCCGCGGCTGGTGCATCGTGGGAAAGAAGCAGACGTGTCCCTACTGCAAAGAGAAGGTAGACCTCAAGAGGATGTTCAGCAATCCGTATCCTTTATTGGGGTCCTTGTTGGGAGTGGGCTGTGGGAAGAAAGTACTGGACAGTGTGACCTGCATTTGGGTCCTCCTGGGGCCCTCACTTCTGCCCTCAACCTATTCTCAGCCTCCTTGCAGCCATTGTCACGGACAGATAGATTTGTGTCAGCCTTAGGCTGTGTTTTCTTACACTGGCAGTTCCTTCTTAGAGAATGTGTTACTGGAGGCCATCCCTGCATGTTAGTCGTGGGGAACTAGGATTTCTCTCTCTACCTCTCTTGGGGCTGCCCTGCCTCCCGTACCAGTCCCCTCTGTTTGCCTCCTGCATTCTCTGCGTTCAGCTCTACTCCAACGGACAGGCTGTGAGGAGGAAGAGGAGGGGGAGGGCAAAGTTGGGAGTAGGCTGAGTAGGAAGTGAGGCTGGGCCCTTCCAGAAAGCCTCCATTCCTCTAGGCTGTGGAGCAGCTGGAAGGTGGGGCAGACCCAGGGAGCCCCACCACCCATGCTAGATCACTCCTGGCAGCTCTTGCACAGAGCCTCTTTTCTTTAACACACTGACAGCTGGGAGAGGCCTCACGTCATGTATGGGCAACTGCTGGACTGGCTTCGATACTTGGTAGCCTGGCAGCCTGTCATCATTGGCCTAGTCCAAGGCATCAACTACATTCTGGGCCTGGAATAGTGACGAAGAGCATCAGTGGAGAACCCACCCCACACGCCGTGGAGCTCAGGGCACTCTCCTCCCTGCCCACAAAGACCTCCTGGGTGGGAAAGACTCAAAGGGGCGCTTGGGCCACTCAGGACCCCTCCGGTTGTGTCGGACTGGGGAGGGTTATGATGGAGACCCAGCCAGTGGGGCTATCAGCAGTGGGGGGCTTTTTAAAAGAAAACTATTTTGATGAATATATTTTAAAAACTTTTTTTTTTTTTAATTGTGGAGCATAGGAATTGCCCCCCTCCAGGCTTCACCCTCCCTGCCTAAGCAGGGTGGGGGCAGAGCCTTGACATTTTTGGTTTAAAGGAGCCTTCTCATCTCTGGCCGAGAACACTGCTGGGCTCCCAGGTAGCTGAAGACCTCAGCCCACCCATTCCCTTCTTCCCTGTGTGGGGCTCAAGCCTGGTGCACTTAGTATAGAAGAGCTAATGTACTCAGGCTGGTGCCACGGGTGAGCACTGAGGCCCCAAGTGTCCTCCCTCCCCCACTGTCTGGGACAACAGAACAGGTGTTGTGTCTGACTCTGTCTCCCCCTGTCCAGGAGCTATAGGCCGGTTGAGGCATGGAACCTTATCAGTGACTTGTCCAAAAAGGGAAGCCTTGGGGCCTCAGAATTCATTGAAGATTTGTTTTGGGACAACTGGAAGAATCAGCACCATGGATACTTGCCCATGGGCAGGGCTGTGGTCAGCCAAGAATAGAGGTCATATAGTTGGGCTGTGGGGCAATTGTTGGCAGCCATGACTGACGGCCCCTTGTGCAAGCTCATTCTTCAGTGGATCCTTCAGTGGAGTGGTGACACGTGCCAGCGGTCACTCTGCCACATCACTTCTTTCTTGAAAGCCTAAGAGTGCGTATGCATGTGTGTGTGTCTGTGTGTGTGTGTGCACGTGATGCAGAAGAATATGACAGATGTCAGCTTCTCCCTGTGTCAGATGATATGCCCTTGAAGCTGGCAGGGGATTCCCAGTCCAGGGAATATCCCTACATGATTTTTGTCATTCATGGGTCCTCCCTGGGCCTGCCAACAAGAGTGGTGGGTGGGTAGAGGGATAAGGCCCAAGTGAGTACAGGTTCTGAGAGGGGGCTTCTAGGAAGGCCCCAGCCCTAGTACTAGGCGACGTGAATAAAGTGGGAGGTCAAACATGAGCCTTTGGCATTGGGTTTCTAGGGAATATGACCCAGTAGGGCCTGCTCCTTCAAGGGCAGCAAGAACCAAGCAGGATGTTGTCACTCCCGTCTGAATAAAGCTCCATGAGCTGGGTTGGAAAGCTGAACATTTATCTTGCTTTCTTCTTCCCACCTCTTTCCCTGGGGTCTCCAGGGGTGTCTTGCCTTTGCTAACCCCCATCTGAGACCTGAGGGTCTGGGGATGGTTGGGCCTGCCTTTCTGCTGTTCCTGGCTGTTCCCCTGCCGACATCCCTAGGAGTGGTGGAATGCCAGGCTCCTGTCCTGTGGCCTAAGGGGGCCTGGGGCATCACTGGGCCTGCTTTCAGACTGAGGTTGCTCTATGTTCTCACTGCCTGAGGCCAGTGTCCTGCCACCACTTGCCTTCCTTAGGGCCATACTCAACCTCGGCTTCTCTTCCCCAGCTGTGGCTTCCCATGGTACTCTGCTGCTTATGCCACCTGTGGGGCTGCTCCCCTCAGAGAGGGGAATGGGGCTGGTCAAAGGACCCAGGGATCACCCTTTCACTTTTTTCCCCCACCCCCATGTCAGGCTCAGGTGAGAAGCCGAGGCCAGGCTGTCCAAAGCTCTTTTCATGTGTAACAGTCCTGAGTCCCTTGACCTCCCCTTGGCCCAACTCTGGCCTTGGTTCCACTAAAGGCAGAGTCCTCTTGTCTCTTCCTACCATCCCCCACTGGACTGTGTCTCTCAGAAACCCCAGGCAGCCTTGCCTCCTGACCTAATTCCTGGAGATGCTGGTGTTCCTGGGAGGAATTTCCCCTGCATCTTACGTGCTAGAAGCCCCTGGGGCAAGAGGTAGGGGGAGGAATTGAGAGGAGGAAAAACGTGAACTGGATACCTAGAGAAGAAGGATGTGACTTGTAGTCTCCTATGTCTAAATTAGGAATATGAATCTGGTTTTTCTACAAGAAACTTGAGATCACAGCTGACTGTGTTCCTGATGCATCCACCAAACCCAGTTCCATCTGTGGGCCTCCCTGGCTCTGTCACCAGCCCTTGCACCCTCCTGATCACAGGAGTCACAAACCTCAGACGTGCAGCTCCTGTCCACACTTAATGTATGCATGCACATTGGATCACCCAGCCCTGGTCTTTCTGCTTCCATGGATAACTGCATGACCCTGAGAGGGAACCTCCTTAGATTTAGCATCCTAGGTTCCTCACACGCCTCACCCTGAAACCTGGCCCTCCCGCAGCCCCAGCACCATTTGTCCCATCAGTGACCAGATTCATATTCTGGTGTAGCCTCTGTTGCCGGAGCCAGTGCTGAACCAGTCCGCCTTTTCCCCGGGAAGTGTCCGCCCTTCCCTCCTGTTAGGGTTGGCTCTCGAGCTTGTGTACCAGTTCCTGGGTTGGCCGTGAGAGTTCTACAGACAAGGGGGAAGTGCGCTCGGTGTATTTCCTGTGGTGGGTGTACATGCAGCTAGACACAGCTAACTTGAGTCTTGGAGCTCCTAGAGGGGAGCTTCTGGAAAGGAAGCTTCTTCAGGACCTCTCGGAAGCCAGGTAGGAGTCTGGAACTACTAGTGAACCTAGACCTGTAGCTCTGGCCAGAGGGGCTAGGATGAGAGACGGAGGGTGTGATGGTGGGTGCAGGGAGTTGCAGCCGACCTTGGGGCTGGTGGCTGGGGGAGTGGGGAGCCTGGGAAAGGCCAGGATGTGGATGGGCTGGTATGGCATTGAGCCTCAAAGGGTCCAACTTGGGGTCCCCAGTGCCTAGGAAAGTTGTCCCCTTGAATATTAGTGTGAAGGTGAAGGAGGAAGCAGATGCCTGTTCATATGGAAACAAAGACCTGGCTGTGAAGAGGGGAGGTGAACACCAAAGTCCTGACACTTGGATGGGGCAGAATTGATCTGTGAGAGACTCTTACCTAGTTCACACCTAGTGACCCTGGGGGTGGCGTGGGGGTAGGTTAGAGATCCCAGTCTGGTGTCTGGAGAGTAGGGGTCTCAAGAACTGAAGGTTTCTGGCCACTGAACTTTGGCTAAAGCAGAGGTGTAACAGCTGCTCAGGATTCCCTGGTTAAAAAGTGAAAGTGAAATAAGAGGATGGGGGCAGTGCTTTCCCAGAAGGCTTGCTCGGCATCCTGCCCTTCCCAGAAGCAGCTCTGGTGCTGGAGAGAGCACTGCCTCCCTGTGTGACTGGGTGAGTCCATATTCTCTCTTTGGGTCTCAATTTTGCTTTCCCTAATGAAGGGGTAAGATTGGACTAGGTAAGCATCTTATAACCATTTGTGGTCCTGAGAGCTGGCGTGGGGAAAGATTGTCACTTGATGACCCCCCAGCTCTGTTTCTGAGTGCTGAAAGAGCTCCAGGCTATGCTACGGGAGGAAAAGCCAGCTACTGAGAAAAAGCGGGAGTGGTTTACCATTCTCCTCCCCCACCTTTCACCAGAGAAGAGGCCATTGTCACAGATAAAAGAGCCAGCTCACCAGCTCCTGACACATGCATCGTGACCATGAGACACAACTGGACACCAGGTAGGCCTTGGGGCTACGCATGGGCAGGAGGGGTAGGGTGAGGTCTATGAACAGAATGGAGCAATGGGCTAACCAGGAGCCTTCACAGCCCAAGGCAAACACCACCCAACAAACCTGGTGCTGCTGCTTTAAGAACCTGGGCGAATGCTGTGGCTCTGGCTCCATTCTAAAGCTCCTCTGTACTCTATTCAATAAGGGGCTAAAGGGGTGGGTGCTGAGGGGCTCCTCTTCCCACTCTGATTCCCTGGCTAGAGCCCAGACATCTCTGGGCTGGAGTTACATCCTTACCCGGGCAGCCCACTCTGTCTCCAGTCCAGATATGAGCCAGGATGCTGAGCATTCCCAGGCAGCCCAGCCGCTGACCTGTGACTGTCCTTTCCTCAGACCTCAGCTTCTTGTGGGTCCTGCTGTGTGCCCACATCATCACTCTTCTGGTCAGAGCCACACCTGTCTCGCAGACCACCACAGCTGCCACTGCCTCATCTAGAAGCACAAAGGACCCCTGCCCCTGCCAGCCCCCAGTGTTCCCAGCAGCTAAGCAGTGTCCAGCATTGGAAGTGACCTGGCCAGAGGTGGAAGTGCCACTGAGTAAGAAGCACAGTGGTCAAGGGTGGGCTATGGGCACAGAGGTTCCCAGGGTCGGGTTGACTCCTGAGTGCCAGCCCCCTTCTGCCATGCACCACCAGCTGGGCCAGCTGGACTGAGCATGCACCATTCTCCCTCCCCAACCCACTGTCATGGGTGCAGGCTTAGCACAGCTCCCAAGATGCTCCCTATGAAGTAGGACAGAGAACTCAAGACATAAGTAATGGTCACAGACCTCCCAGAGCCTTGGTTGCAGTGAACTCCAAGGCCAGCCCCGCCACCCAGAGCCTGTGGGCCTCTGGCCATCTCAGAGGAGCAGTAGCCATCCAGCACTGCCTCTGTCACCTGGGTTCCCAAGTCACCGAGGCTGGGCACTAGAAAAGGTCATCCTGAGGAGACAGGTTCAGTAGAGGAGTCATCACGTGAACCAAGGGCCCTTCCTCACATTCCCCCATGTTTAGGGCTGGGGCCTCTCAGAGACAACTGCACTTCCCCTTTAACAGACATTCCCACCTGGGTGGTGTGCAGAGCAGTTCTCTAGGTTCCAGATTCATGGGGACTGAGGGGAGCTGGCAGGGAGGGCACAGCAGGGCAGGGCAGGGGAAGGGCCTGCTCTTTGGAAGGGCTAACTACTGCCTGTGTCCCTAGATGGAACGCTGACCTTATCCTGTACGGCCTGCAGCCGCTTCCCCAACTTCAGCATGCTCTACTGGCTGGGCAATGGTTCCTTCATTGAGCACCTCCCAGGCCAGCTGTGGGAGGGGAGCACCAGGTGAGGGTCGCAGCAGCCAGGTGGGTGGGAAGGCGGCCTTTTCTGCGGCCCTCTCATGACCTTTCCTTCCCCTTTGCTCCAGCCGGGAACATGGGAGCACAGGTACGCGGCTGTACAAGGCCTTGGTGCTGGAGCAGCTGACCCCTGCGCTGCACAGCACCAACTTCTCCTGTGTGCTCATGGACCCCGAACAGGTTGTCCAGCGTCACGTCATCCTGGCCCAGCTCTGGGTGAGGAGCCCAAGGAGAGGCCTCCAGCAATAGGAGGAGCTCTTCTTCCATATGTGGGGAGGAAAGGGTGGGCTCTGCCAGAGCAGCCTCTAAACTAATGCCCAGCATTCCTCAAGGTCAGCCAGACAAAAAAGAACTTGGGTCTTGGGCAGGGGAGGCGTGGCCTGGCGCAAAGTGATGAGATGTCCCTTGTTTCCTTGGCCTGATCCTTGTCTGCCTTCACTTCCCTAGGCTGGGCTGAGGACAACCTTGCCCCCCACTCAAGAAGCCCTGCCCTCCAGCCACAGCACAGGGCCACAGCAGCCCACAGCAGCAGGGTTAAGACTCAGCACAGGGCCAGCAGCAGCACGACCTTGACCAGAGCCTGGGTCCTACCCGTCTACCTGAAGTGAACAGTCCCTGACTGCCTGCAGGCTGTGTGGGCGAGCAACGCACCCCCTCCTCCTCTGCTTTGGGTCCCTTCTCTCACCAAATTTCAACTCCATTCCCACCTACCTGGAAAATCGCAGCCTCCTTATAATAATGCCTCCTCCTCCTCATGCCATTTTCTCTCTACCTACCCATTAGCTTTCCTAACGTCCTACTCCTCACACTGCTGTACTGCTCAGAAACCACCAAGACTGTTGATGCCTTAGCCTTGCACTCCAGGGCCCTACCTACATTTCCCACATGACTTTCCGGACGCCTCCAACTATTCTTGCTTTCCCCAGACAGCTCCCACTCCCATGTCTCTGCTCATTTAGTCCCGTCTTCCTCACCATCCCAGCAGGGGAACTCTGAAGCCTGGTTGAAACGCCACCTCTTCAATGAAGTTACCCTTGTTCAGCTCTGGCCACATTCTGCAGACTTCATGTCTTCTTGCTGTATGTTTTTTTGTTGTTTTCCTTCACTCTAATGGACTGATCCAGGGAAGGGATGGGGGCAGTGGCTGCTTCGGCTCCACACTGTATCTGTGTCATCCCCACATGGGTCCTCATAAAGGATTATTCAATAGAGGCATCCTGACATCTGTTCATTTAGGCTTCAGTTCCACTCGCAGGAACTTTGCCTGTCCCAGGAGGGAGTATGGGAGAGAGGGACTGCCACACAGAAGCTAAAGACAAAACCTGCTTCAGGCCTGGCGCAGTGGCTCAAGCCTGTAATCCCAGCACTTTGGGAGGCCGAGACGGGCGGATCACGAGGTCAGGAGATCGAGACCATCCTGGCTGACACGGTGAAACCCCGTCTCTACTAAAAAGTACAAAAAACTAGCCGGGCGAGGTGGCGGGCGCCTGCAGTCCCAGCTACTCGGGAGGCTGAGCCAGGAGAATGGCGTAAACCCAAGAGGCGGAGCTTGCAGTGAGCAGAGATCTGGCCACCGCACTCCAGCCTGGGTGACAGAGCGAGAGACTCCGTCTCAAAAAAAAAAAAAAAAAAAAAAAAAACCTGCTTCAGGGGTACACAGGCTCTTGAAAAAGAAGAGAGAACAGCCCATAATGCTCCCCAGGAGCAGAGGCCAGTAATGGAGACTGGGAAGAGCCTGGAAAGATGCGCCTCCAGGAAAAGGGATGAGAGAAAGGAGGTGGTCTGAAAGACTCAGTGGGGACAAGGTAGGCTCCAAAGAGCCTAGATTTCCCCTCCTTTTCCCACATAGATCAAAGCAATTCAGTACTCACGGGAGAAAAATAGACTTTATTTACAAGTAATAACATTTAGAAAAGATCCATCCCCGGCCCTTAAAAACCTTCCCATCACTCCAAATCCCACCCCAGTGCAAGTCTGGGGAAGGTAGGGTGTGAGCTGCCGCTGAAGGCTGTCCCCCAACCCCACTCCTGAGACACAGGCCCATCGTCCTGGGAAAGAGCATCCTCTGGCAGGTGCTCCCACCAGGTCAGACCCAGTCCTGGACGTCAAGAGTGAGGGCCCCTGCTAGGCCCAGCCTCCAGGAGAGCAGGAACCAGGGCCTACTCCTCTTATGGTCCCTTCTAGATCCAGAGGCTAAGAGGAAGACTGGCCAGGCCCAAGGACCCAGCCATCAAAACCAGCCTCAAATCTGGTTGTGATGGAGAAGTGACTTTGCTTTAAGAAAAAAGGAGGCAAGGTAGGGAGAGCGCCCACACTGTCCATGCTTCAGGCCTCCTGGGCCAGCTCTGAGAAGTTGCCAGTGAAGGTCCAGGGACCAGGTCAGGGTGCGGGCAGGCATCACTGTCTCTAGGGGTTTGGCTACTGTTGGCCTGGGAGCTGAGAGAAGGCACTGAGAGGGACAGTAGAAGGAGGACCAGGTGAGGTCAGCATCAGCGACACAGGTGGGGCCACTCACTGGTACTGGCCCTTTAGTGCTTTGCCTGAAAGAGACAGTCACAAGGCCAGATGAGGACCTGGAATGCCAGCCTGCACCCACAGGTTCGGAAGACCTCTTCCTGCTCTCACGCCCCCATCTGGATCCCCTCCCTTGTGAGCCCCGGGGTTATCAGGTGCTGGCTGTGCCTGAGCAGCTCTGGGTGCTCTCCATAAGAATGGGGCCATCTGTCTTCTCTCCTTGGTAACGAGTAGCTACCACGACAGCGACACCTCTTACCCTGCACTCTCCTGCAGCCTGGCGTGGGCCTGTCTTGGATGCTACTCCGTGGGGCGGTCTAGGGGGTGCCCATGCTCTCATCAGGTTTCCCTCCCCCATCCTGCCAGTGGCCTCTACCTTGCCCTTGGCTCGAGGGGTGGCAGTGGTGGCAGCAATGGCAGCAGCAGTGGCGGCGCTGGCTGTAGTGGTGGCGATGCGTGGAGAACGGCGGGTTCCACTGCGAGTGTTGGGGGAAGCCTTGGACAGGGCCTTCTTTGAGGCTCCCCGCCGCAGAAGGCTGTTCCCTAGCTTCTTGGGTGTGTTGAGGATGCTGAAGGCCATCGACTGGCGCCGGTCAGCCTGCAAGGAAGGGCTGTCAGACCGGGAGACCCAATGCTGCCCTCCCAGGCCAGCCTGCTGTGTGACACTCTGCCAGCAAGGTCCTGCCAGGGCGTCGCTTCATCCCCCTTCAGCCCCAGCCTCACCTGTTTAGTTGAAGCTGGAGCCGCTTTCTTCTGGGCCTCAGTAGCGCTCTGTTTGCGCCCTTCATGTCGGTCTCGGGGAGTCATGGGGCGTGGGAAACAGCTGGTGGCCTTCTTAGACTATGGGGAACAGGACAGTTAGGCAGACAGTAGCAAGAGTCGTCACATCTGAAGCCAAGTGTCTTGTCCTCTTAGAGCTGAGTGGACCTTGTAAGTCAACTTGTGCAACCTGCTCCCCTACCCAACTCTGGGCCAGAGGCTTCCCTTCCCAACAGTTCCCATCCATGGGTTAGACCCTTGGAGAGAGAGAAGGAGAAGGGGAAGTGAGGGAAGGAGAAGGGGAGAGAGGGAAGGCTCCCTTTAGTCCTTGGTGAGCTGGGCCTGACCTGGGCACAATGCTGGAGCAACACCCAGAAGCCTACCTCAGGAGTTCCAGGGCCCTGGTGGGGCTCTAAGGAGACCCGTTTGCGCTGCTGCCGGGTGGTGATGCCAGTGCCCTCGGCTATCTGGATTGGCTGCATGCTGGCTCGGCGCAGGGTCTCCTGGGGATCTCCAGTTTTCATCTCCTCATCTGTGATGGTGCCCAGGCTCAGGGAAGGCTGCATGGGTGGAAGAGGTGGTCAGTGGACCGTAGCTGTGCGGAGATGGAGCAGGACCTGGGGCTGTCCCAGAACTCTGCACTTGCCCGCCATTTAGGGTAGGCAGACCCTTCCTACCTCTCACGAGGCCTCCCTTCCTGTTCTGCTTTCTACCTATACCCCGGGTAAATGGCCACAAGCAGTGCAGTCCCGACCAGATTCCTCTCCGAGCTCCTGCTCATCCCCAGGGACTTCACTCCTAAGCACCTTCCCTGCTGTCTGTTCTGCCTGGAAGCATGAGAAGGTCACCCTCCCCGTCCTTGGCCGGTCAGCGATCCAGGGCTCTAGTGCTCAGGCTAGATCAGCAGGTGGGATTCTAAGGGAGGACAGGGATGGGAGGCCCTGCACAGTGACCCCAGGGCTCACCCTGGACTCCAGGGGATAGCAGGTCTTCAGGTGTGGGGGGCACACTCGATTGCGCTGCTGCAGCTCTGCAATGCGGTTCCAGTCATCCAGCTGCTCAGGCTCATCCTGGCAAGTGCCCATGTAGAAGCTGTTCCTTCCTGTGGATGGCAGGGAGGTGGGAACAAATGAGCCCGGAGTCAGCAGGTTGCCTGCTGGCCCTGGCATCTTGCCAGCCTTTGCTGCCACCTACCCCATAAACTTGAAGCCCAGCACACCAATCTGATTCAGCGCCGCAGGTGCAGGAGTATGGCACACAGACTATTTCTATCCTAGGGGCTTGCTCACCGCCTTCTCCTTGGAGAGGGCAGAAGAGGTCACACGCAGAGGCTGCTACTACATCTTATTCACCAGCCAAGGCTTGGTGCCCAACACCCAGAGGAACAAATTAAGGACCAGGAATTGATTCCCAGGGGCTCTCTGGTGCCCAAAGGACAAGAGCTTCCAAGAAGAGTCTGGCCAGCCTGGCCTTTCCAGCAGCCCATCACCACCTAAGGGCATGGAGGACTCCCCACAGCTAAGTGTCACAATTGTGCTGGGAATCCCAGGCCCTTAACTCTGGCTAAGAGTGCCCCTAACACAGCCAGCCCCTAGATGGGCAGGTAAGGAAGGCCCTGAGGCTGCAGGAAGGAGGGGCAGGTGGAGGTGGACGGTAGCAAGGAGGCCAGCCTTGGATTTTTAAAAAGCTTTCCTCTTTTCCCTGTGCCACGATCCACCTTCCATTCTAATTTTGGGGTATAGTAAGTCCCTGTAGTCCCCTCACCTGGAGGGGCCCCACTGGACACCCCGGCCTGGGAGCGACGAGCAGAACTGCGAGTGGTGGGGCGGTAGCCAGGCAAGCTGAGCAGGGCTGAGTTGCCATAATCGGGAGAACTCAGGCGAGCTAGAGACTGAGTAGAGGAGGTGGCTCGCAGGCTAGCCTGGGAAGCCGGAGCAGACCGCGTGCTATAGAAGGATGAGTTGGCGCTGTCTGGCTCTTCCACATCTAGCTTCTGGAAGAGAGAGTGAATCTGTTGCAATGGGGTGGGCCCTGGCACTATACAGAAGCCCCCCATTCCCTCCCAAAGCCCTCAGATCCCACGGCACATCCATGCATTCCCAACAGCTTTGCAAAGGCCCTTAACGTGTGTCTGCAAGAAATGGGCCTTGTTGACAGAAGCCCTCACAAGGTGGTGCTGATGTTGTCAAGACTCTTTTCTATGCATCTTTTTCATGGAGTCTATTCATAATGCTTTGAGGGAGGGAATGCAGAGTGTTTATCGGCCCATTTTAGAGGTGAAGTGCAAAGAAATGAAGTGACTAGCCCCAAATCACACTGCTAGGAAGTATCAGAGCTGTCTCCTGACTAGTCAGGCTTATCCCACAGCCTCTGCTGTCCCTCAGTCCAAGCTTCCAGGGCCCTTACCATTTTCTACAACTTCCCCAACTTCTTGGTAGCAGGGGACACCCTGCACACACAGGTCCTCCCTGCTGTACCGGGGCCCCTCTCCCCTCCTCCCAAACCTCTCCTTCAAGATGTGGAAACAAAGGCAAGGGCCCACAGCCTGGCAGGCAGTCCACTGGGCAGCAACAATGCCTCTCAGCTGCATGGGGCATGCTGGGAGGCACTGGATGGGCTGCAGCTTCACCATGTTCTCTCCCTTCACCCTGCACAGGCTCAGTGCTACACATGGAGAGAACACTAGCCTTAGTCAGGAGGCAGGGATCTAATCCCAGCCCTGCCCTTTTCTTCAGAAGTGCCCCTAACCAAGTCACTGCCCTTTTTAAGACCTCAGCTTTCCCACTGTAACATGGACTGGCTGCTCATCCCTGCCTGCTCCTGACTGAGTGCCCAATGCAAAGACGCCCTTGAGAGGAAGTGGGAATTGCTGCCCTGCAGCCCCTGTCCCGACAGCCTGACCTTGGTCATGGTGATGTTGATGATCTGTGTGGTGCGCC